CGCGGCGTATGTACCTATATATATTTATAAACACACTAAACTATACGATATTATGCGGACGAATTAAATCGACAATTAGTTGATGATAATATCATATAGCCGCGTGAGCAGAGTTAACTTGACAAGGTTGTAATGTGTGAAAAAGATAGCATGCTAACTAGCAAGACCGTAAACAAGACGAATATATATTACGCAGTGTCGTTGCGATGTCACGACTTACTTCATAGATTAACAATTAAAATGTCACAGAACTAACATAAAATTATTTGATGCCTACGGTTTAGTAAGCAGAATTGATATATTTAAAATGAACTCCTGACTATTCTTTTAAGAAATAAAACAGCAAAGGACAAATAATTTTATTTTTTTATTTTCATTTAGTTCATTATTATTTGGCCGCCAATCCTCTTCATGTCTTTGTCTACGTACAATATTTATCCATTGGTTACATCTTAATACATTTGCCGGAAACCTTTAAAAATAATATCAAATTTGTTAATTCATTTCTCGGTTGTTGTGAGCTAATGTGTAGGCAATATCATGGAAATGTCCTTTCTGTTACATTACTCTTTTTAATCTTGACAGACATCTCTCTTACACTCGGTGACCGGAGTATATGCCGTCGCACTCGAGCCTTTTTTAATAAATTTAAGCTAATATTTTGGATTTCTTAAACAATATAAAAGCAAATCAATTTAAAATTAATACTTTCGCATGACATGTCATCCCTAGACTTTTGGGAGTCTTTCTTGTATAGTTTCTACAGTGTCGCTTAACACAGGACGGCATTTTAAAGAAATTTCGCGGAACAAAAAACACAGTCAACGTTACCAATGCTTTCACGAGACTAAGCTTGAGTGCGCTAATTAGCTCAGTTTTACGGCGCCACTTTACGAACTCAAGTAACTTATCTACCTCTTTTTACTATAACATCATTGGTTACCACGACCTTTTCGGTTACTAATCATGAAAGGTCCAGCAAAGTCAACTCCACACGAGTAAAAAGGAAAGCAAGCATTCGTACGCGCTTCAGGTAAATGACCCATTATTGGCTGCATCGTATTCGCTCGTAGGCGAACGCAAACAATACATTGTCTAACTACTTGCCGTGCTAAACATCTTCCGCCAATAGGCCAGTACTTATCACGCACTGACGCTAACAGCAGCTGTTGACCTGCGTGAAACAACCGTATATGTTCATTAATCATTAATAACTTGGTAAAATGATGTTTTGAATCTAATATTATAGGGTGCTTCTTATCGAAATTATAATTTGAGTTTCCTAAACGNTGCTAGTTATCTTTTTCGCACCTACCTGGGTTAAAACATTCAAATAATCTTTAAATTTTGTCAGCCTACCTTTGACTATGCTACGCTTTTTGACAAGCTCCTTTAAAGTCTCTTTTGATTCCATGACCAATTAAAGAAATAAATAAATTGAACAATGAACTAGGCAAGACAATGAAATGGTCAAACCAGTTTTAACGGTCCTGTCACGGTCGCCACTAATGTTAATAAAACTCCAATAATACAATTCGCTTTATAATAATTAATATTTTATAATTTTGGAGATTAACATAAATTCTTATTGAGCGGTCGAAACGTCCGCCGTTGATCGAGTCTGTCGGCGATCGCGATCAGCTGATGCGTCCCCCCGTCCGCCGCGTCTCCCGCCGCTGTTGTCCACGCGTTCGATGCGTGGACAATTGTGTGACGTCATGATTTTAACAATGCATTTTATTTAGTGGGAGGAGCCCACGCGTCCATTCGCATCTCAGTGCCAAAAGTTACAAGGCTATGGTCGGAGATTCGTATCTTTTGAGAAATAGCCAGTCAGATTAGATAAAACTGTTCAAAACTTCGGGAATCGCGGTTCTGGGTGTATGTATATACGGGGTTTTAATAAAGAAAGAAAAAGATAAATAAACCGGAATAAATCACAATAGGTCGGCTAAGTAATGTGATGTTCAAAGATAGCTCAATTGTTTTTTTTAATAAATATAATATTTACATAACTAGCGGCTCGCTCTGGCTCCGCTCGGGTCTTTAACAAAAAATTTAACGATATTTGACGTTGTTTTTTTTTCTTTTAAATAAAAGAACACTTATTGCGGCAAGTTAGAAATATTTTGTCGCGACACTTTTTGTAAATAATAATATGTTCTACAAAGTCGTAGTACATTATTTTATTCTATCATCAATAGTTTTCGCAGCGTACGCGATGTAAAGAATATTTTAGGTATTTTTTTTACACCTTGGGTTACATTATTGGAGTTTTAATAAGGATCCCTAATTTTTTTCAAAAAAAGATTATGGCCTATGTCACTCGGGAATAGTGTAGCTTCCAAACAGTGAAAGAATTTTTCAAATCGCTTCAGTAGTTGCGGAGCCTATTCAATACAAATAAAGAAACAAATCTTTCCTCTTTTTATTATTAGTTTAAATAACTAAGACGCTGAATAACTTTTTTACAATTTATTTTCACGTAATTACATATTCTGTAGTTTTCGACGAACTCAGTGACATTTATTTTATTTTTATATTTGTATATAAGATACAGCAGTTACCAAAAACAAATAATAACAAATTTAAATAAAACAATGTATTGCGGTGATTATAAATTGACAAATACATAATAAACATTGCACAGATTATTGCTTACAATACATTGCAACAACGTATTTTTTTATGATATGTTTTTAAATATACTATTATTTTTAGTAATGCTGTACTTCATATCTGAGCGAAACTTTAAAAAAAACTGCATGTTATTACTACTTAACTTTATATCCCTGAGACCAACTCACAAACGGACAAATAACCTGTGTTTACTTATAATCACCAGGTATTTTACCCGAAGGATTACGAACCAGGCGAAGCGGATTACGATTTCTCGCTGCTACGACTAGACCGCCCTATGCCCATCGGCAGGAACATAGCTGTCCTCAACCTGCCGGCCAAGCAGTACAACGTGGATGAAGGCGACATCCTCATTGTCTCAGGGTGGGGAAGCACTCATGTGAGTTAGTTTGGCAAACGAGGAGATCGACTCAATTAAGATTGTAACCATATTACTGGTCGTAGGACCTTTTGTGAGTCAGCACGGGTACCACCACCCTGAATGTTTCTGCCGTGAAGCAGTAATGCGTTTCGGTTTGAAGGGCGGGGCATCCGTTGTAACTATACTGAGTTCTTAGAACTTATATCTCAAGGTGGGTGGCGTATTTACGTTGTAGATGTCTATGGGCTCCAGTAACCACTTAACACCAGGTGGGCTGTGTGAGTTTAGAAAGGCGACAGCGTCGGCGGAATACGCAATAAAAACAAAAACTTTCATCTTCTGAAGATTTTCCGATGAAATGTACTAGGAGAGCATATTTCTTGAGAGATGAATCAGACAATTTCACAGCCCTCAGGTTACGGACACATTCCGGATCGGATACGGTTTGTTCCCGTTCCGGTGATGGCACAAGACAAATGTCAGAAGTCCTACAATATTTATATAACTCCTAGAATGCTCTGCGCTGGATATCCTTCCGGGGGGAAGGACTCTTGTAATGTACGTTTCTTTCGTTTATGATATCCTAGTACTTTAGTATGTTTTATGAGCATGTTTTGGATTGATCGCCGCGTCGGTGGCTTCCTATTGTTTTCTAAGCAATAAAAAAAACATGGCGACTATATACATATTACAATAATAAATAATTAGGAAAAAATCACGCTCGGTCATCGGTCTCCAATTTAAGATTCCCTGTGTTATGGATACATATTTAAAAACGTCTAAGTATATACGTATGATAAGCACCCGGACAAAGAGCAAACAAAACTGTTCATCGAATCGAACCTACGACCCTCGACGTAGCTATTGGATCGAATTAAACCGATTTAATACCAAGCAACCTACGATTAATATTGTTGAATTCTTTTTACCATTTTTTAAGAGTGAATACAGACTGGAAACTCAGTTAAGCATTTTTTGTATACACCAGTCATATTGACTGGTTATTGTAGAAATACGTATATTTAAATGGCTGGTAAATCTAGTGTTAAAAGTGAAAGTTTATTACGATTGAATAATGTTAAAAAAAAACACGACTAAGCTATAACTTGTAAATTAACCCTCAGACACAGCCCACTGAGTTTCTCGCCGGATCTTCTCAGTGGGTCGCGTTTCCGATCCGGTGGTAGATTCTGCGAAGCACGGCTCTTGCTAGGGTTCGTGTTGGCAACGTCGTCAGGTTTGAGCCCCGTGAGCTCACTTACTAGTTAAGGTTACGCTGAAATAGCCTCTCAAGGCTCTCAGCTAGGTAGGCAAAAAAAAGGGACCAGTTAACGTGGCATGATCGTAAGTAAATATATCTATACTGATACCTATATATAAATCTACAGTGATTTTTACGGATGTTCCGTTATAGCTACTGAACCATGCATCCGATTGACTTGAAACTTGGTATCCATGTAGGAAATACATGTACTTAATGGATAGGCTAATATTTGTAAGAGTTGGACTCCCTATACCTGTTGCGGGGGCGTTAATGATGAGAATCTTTGTGGGGGTGAGAAATAATTAGGTATGTTAATTTTAAATGCCCAGCGAAGCGGACGGGTACAGCTAGTAGTAAATATATGTCTTGTAATGGACAAATCGATACGATACATACTGCGAATATTAATTCTTTACTTTATTTAAAGCACGACTCGGGCGGACCGGCCGTTAACAAAGACGGAGTGTTGATAGGTCTCGTCTCGTTTGGCGGTAAGAATTGCGGAGCTCCCAACTCCCCGGGAGTTTACAGTCGAGTCTCCGAAATAACTGATTGGGTTGAGCGTACGATAAACGATAACGAGGCCTTCAAGGACCCAGATTTGATACCGAAAATCGAAAGGGCCCGGGAGCGAGAACGCGAATTGCAGAGGTTAGTTGCTCGATGTTATGTTGCCTTGGTACTTTCACTCCATAAAACTGTATTCGTTTATGATTTTTTTATTAACCTTGCAGGCAGACGAGCTTACGGCCCACCTGATGGTGAGTGGTTACCGTCGCCCGTGGACTTCAGCAATGCCAGAGACAAGTCGCTGCCTACCGATGCATGATTACCAATAGCGGTGCAGCATACGGCATGTAAGACTCCCATAGACACAGCCCGCTGAGTTTCTCGCCGGATCTTGTCAGTGGGTTGCGCTTCCGATTCGGTGGTAGATTCTGCGAAACACTGCTCTTGCTAGGGCCAGCGTTAGCAACACTCACGATTTGAGCCCCGTGAGCTCACCTACACGTCAAGGAGAAGCTGAAATAGCCTCACAAGGCTAACCGCACGGGTAAAAAAAAAAAACATATAAGACTACTTACTACTCATGGACGTCAGTAATTGAAGAGATAAAGCCGCTGTAATTGGATTCAAGAAAGACTTATTATTGGTGCTTGGACAACACCGAATAAGGACTCACAAGAGGTCCTACCACCAGTAATTACGCAATTATAATTTTCCGGGTTTCATGTTTATTACCCGATGTTATTCCTTTACCGTGGAAGTCAATCGTGAACATTTGTTGAGTACGTATTTTATTAGAAAAATTGGTACCCGCTTGCGGGATTCGAACACCGGTGCATCGCTACATACGAATGCACCGGACCTCTTATCCTTTAGGCCACGACGACTTCAAAAAATATAATATCCCCCTAACCGTTTCAACCTTCAGTAAATATAATATCCCCGTAACTGTTTCAATTATGTTTCTTCTAGTCTAAATCAGCATTTTTTATAATTCACCATCAGATTCCAAGCTCACGTCGAAAACAAAAAGAACAAAATTAAGAATTGGCTTCGGGATACTCTGAACTCGCCCACTTTCATTAAGACGGCGAAGAAAAAGCTACGCGAAGCAGGCATCGACACCCGAAGGAGCTTACTGTACAAAAAGACGAATTCTGCTGTTCTCGGTGACAAAAAGATGGACGACCTCAATTTGATAAATTGGATAAACGAAAAGATAATTGGTGGGGATGGCGACGTTAACGAATCAGAAAAAATTCTAAGGATTTTAGCATTAGAAGCGGTAGTGCTTCACGAAAACGAAAACCAAACTAAAAGGATGTCAGATAATAGCGATCTAAGTGTCGAGTCAATATTAGGTTTTATTGCAGATGGATAAAAGCGATTTTTAAATATTATGTAACAGTGCCATCTATGAAATAATATAGAAACTAACTGAAGATAGACAAGCTGAAGCTTTCTTTACAATTGTACCAATAGATGTCACTGAAAAAAAAATTTTCAAGTCTTAGACAAAAACACTTTTGCTACAATCAACCCGTGGAAACATTAATATTTCTTTCTGACAATAGATGGCGTTATAGTTAAATTATGTTGAAATGAATTTTGCGATAATAATATCATGGACTGTCACAATTTTATTTTTAAAATCTACTGTTAATGAATAACTACCACCTTATATCCGTTTTACGTTTTCGAATAGGTCATCTAACAAATCGACATTTATCGAAAGCCAGAATCTAGTTTTCTTCACAAATAATTTTAATGCAAAAGATAAGATTCATTACTGGTGGTAGGACCTCTTGTGAGTCCGCGCGGGTGGGTACCATCACCCTGCCTATTTCTGCCGTGAAGCAATCATGCGTTTCGGTTTGAAGGGTGGGGCAGCCGTTGTAACTGTAACTATACTTGAGATCTTAGAACTTATATCTCAAGGTGGGTGGCGCATTTACCACCCACCTAAGCAATAAAAAACATAAAAAATCATGGAATTTAAATAAAATATTTTTTATATATTAACACAATAATACTTTTTATTATTTCCCTCCAGTTTAAAAACCCGCAAAAACCAGCAGCTATTCTTGAAACTTTTAACTATCTCTTCAATTGTACGGATAAAAACTGTAAAATGAGAGGTTCAAATGATTGTATAAGTGAAGTCTCATTAGAAATAACGCCGCCAAATGGACCGGAACGTTATCGAGAGTATTTCTGCCAAAAATCCAATTTCGTTATGTAAATGTTGCAAAATTTTATACGGACGACTTTACACATTAACGAGCAAGTTATTTAAATTGAATAAATAAAAATGAAAATATTTCATAAAACGAATTTTTTTGTTTAGCCATTAATAGACGTGTCAACAGTTTTTTTCTCCTTCTTATCGTAAGGGAAACAAAAATGGAACATCTATTCAAAATTTTAAGATTTCTCGTCCCACATACTTTCAAACCTCATTTGCTGAAAAAGGATATCTTCAATAAACAACAGGGCGTGGAGCTCTATCCGGCGATGAACCATACCCAGACAACCAATTTGATCTTCTTGGATACCTCGCAGCTACTACCGATGAATGAAAATGAACGAATGAATGAATGAAAACCGTCCATCGATAAATAGAAAAATTCCGAATCAATTCTAAATTTCCAAAATAGCGACAGCTTTTTCGTATATCTAGACTAATCTAGACTACATGCGACCCGTGAGATCTTAAAATAAATGACAGCGATAATTTAATTTAAAAAAAAGGCATTTCAACAACGGCTCATTCAAAAATCAAAGTGAATTTTGTGTTATTAACAATAAAAAGTATTTTACTGAAAAAAATTTTTATTGCCCTTGTAGGCAGACGAGCATACGGCCCACCTGATGGTGATTGGCTACCGTCGCCCATGGACTTCAGCAATGCCAGAGGCAGAGCCAAGCCGCTGCCTACCGTTGGATGAAATTGTTGGATTGTTGGATGAAACCGTCCAACACGAACAAGACCCGGTAAATTATTCATTACATAAGCTATCTCGGTCGCGTTCCGTGCGGTCAGTCATTTTGCGAAGTAACCGATAGAAATTGGGTCCGCCATCACGGTCGATGTTTTAATGGCAGCCTCAAAGCTCTTACGTCGTTATGATGTCCTGGTACTTCACAATTTTTTCTTATTATCAAACTTAAAATAGAAAAAGAGGGATTTGTTAATTAATTAATCATTTTAAGTACTTAAGTGGTATTACATCGAGTAGTGATTACTTTGAGCGACATTTTTGCAACCTTACAGGAGGAGCCATTTAAAGGTAAAAAAATGTTGGAAAAAATACCATAGCAAAAAACTTCTTCGACTATTTGAATGGAGCAATTTTAATTGAAGTTCAATTAAAAACATCGAACTGTTGATGCTAATACTAAATAAAAAGGCTCCTTTAATCACAAAGATATTAAGCGAAATATCGCTTAAACCAAATAGCTTTTTATCCCTCGATATTATTTCTAATATGAGTCTACGTAATATCGAAAAAAAAAACCCTGGTGAAGTAGTCCCATGACGTGGTATAGCTCGTCTGATTTGACACACACAATAAATAAAATAAACATCCAATTAAAACCGTTTTTACGGTTTAATCATAAAGGATGCGAAAACCGTCAAGGACTCGTAAATTTTAATCGGTAAATGCGAGAGGTAACCACAATATAATCGTTTGAATTATATCCAGTACGACTGACGAAGACCGAAAACTACGTATGTGAACTAGGCAGTATGTAATAACTATGTATAAATGTAGATAGTACATAATAATATAGCAAACGAAAAAGATCTTCCACCGAACGGGGCACGGTCCCAAAGTTATGATTCTGAACTTGTATACAAGATTATATAGCGGGTAGCTACCACAGAACACATTTACCCGATCCTGTGAACCGAATGGTAAACAGTCGACGTCGCTCTAAGCACGTAATTACGGATCCTCCCGATTCATTAACGGTGCTTTTAGGTACCTCAAGCACCGGTCACCGTCCTCGCCGAACCCCTCGCTTGCGACGAAGGGCTCGAGTAAATTAACCCATAGACACAGCCCACTGAGTTTCTCGTCGGATCTTCTCAGTGGGTCGCGTTTCCGATCCGGTGGTAGATTCTGCGAAGCGCTGCTCTTGCTAGGGCCAGTGTTAGAATCACTCCGGTTTGAGCCCCGTGAGCTCACCTACACGTTAGGGCAAAGCTGAAACAGCTTCTCAAGTCTATCAGCATAGGTAAAAAAAACACAAGACTTTTGATAGATCGCTAGCGACATTTTCAAGATAACCTTAGAAACAAGTTTCAAACAATAACATTTGGATCGTCTGTCTAGCGAGAAAATTTCCTCACTCGGTGGAAGATCTTTCTTTTGTCGTTACCCCCAGAATTTCTTTGGTGTTGTCGCAGGTGCGATTGAAAATCACTTGTGTTCGCTGAAAAGCTAACACTTTATTTTCAATAATTTTCGCTACGATTGCGATGAAGATAGGAGGCGATTATTTCACTATTTTAGATAAATTTAGTGTGTTACATTTTCTCTTTTGTTTTGATATTGGTATTTTAATGAACAATATTCAAAATTATTTTTGTTTGTCGATTCGAAATTATTATAAATTATTTATTGATTTAAACCTAGCCGGAAAGTTTTTCTGGTAAATCCTTGAACTTATCAGTGAAGAAGACATTGTTGATACTGGTCATGGTATTAGCGCGATCGCACAGGCAGGTTCCTACCTAGTAGGGTATTCCGGGACACCAGCGGCACCGCCTGGGCTGCCTGACAGGCCGCTGTACCTAAAACGACCCACGTACCAGAGCCTTAGTTTGGCCTCAAAGGCTCTGTCAGGCGTCTTTGGGGTAAACCGCACGTCTGGTTGCAGTTCGGGAATTGTTTAGGTAGGGCCTTAAATACAATCCATCTAACATCTACGGATCATCCATCATCACCTTCTAAGTGCGGCGTCCTTGTAGAAGATTCGGCCCCCGGCCCAGAAAAAAACAATTGTATTAGAGCGAAGTTATAAAATTACTCAATTGTCATCAGTGCTTGGTGCGTGTGCAAATTTTCAAGTTAATCGCACGTCTTCAAGTCAAAGAAAATTACGTTCCAAATTTTCATTTCATACAAGCATACCAATCTAATAAAACCGCGTTGAGCTGCTAAATGCCGTATGTGTCTGCACGGGTCGTGGGTACCATCTGCGCCTTATTTATATCTAGACCAGTCTGACAATGGACGTCTATGGGCTGATAGAATAGAACTGGTGCAGTTGTTCCTTGCTCGCTTGATGGAGTGGAGGAAACAAGCGAGAACATTTTTTATTGCCCGAGCAGGCAGACGAGCATAGGGCCCACCTGATGGTGAGTGGTTACCGTCGCTCATGGACGTCAGGAATGCCAGGGGCAGAACCAAGCCGCTGCCTACCTTTTAATACTCTCCACAAGCCTCGTTTGAAGAAGGACATGTCATAGCGCTCGGGAAACACCGCGGAGGGGAGCTCATTCCATAGCCGGATGGTACGTGGCAAAAAAGATGTACATGCACATGTACAGCAATAAAAATACTACATAAACCAATTCGTTAATTTGATTAATTAAAACGTCTTGTGAGTCATTTTCATTGTTCAACAGAATTATAAGTACGTATTTTAGGTTGGCACACTAACTTCTGACTTTTTCCGACGGAAAATAACTTATTTTGAGACGCTACGTTCCTCATTCGTAAAACGAACTCTGTGACCGTGTCAAGGATGTTTGTCTTCGATCGATATTTTAGGTTTGACATCCCGATTGGGATCATAGGTCCTTTATCAAATAGGTTTATTAAGAGATCTTGGATCCGTGAGCGACACAACAACTTAATGGAAGTCGTCGTGGCCTAAAAGATAAGACGTCCGGTGCATTCGTGTCTAGCGATGTAGCTGGGTTCGAATCCCGCAGGCGGGTACCAATTTTTTTAATGAAATACGTACTTAACAAATGTTCACGATTGACTTCGGGACGGGTAGGTGTACCACCACCCTGCCTATTTCTGTCGTGAAGCAGTAATGCGTTTTGGGCTGAAGGGTCGGGCAGCCGTTGTAACTATTATATACTGAGACCTTAGAATTCATATCTCAAGGGGCATTTACGTTGTAGATGTCTATGGGCTCCAGTAACCACTTAACAACAGGTGGGCTGTGAGCTCGTCCACCCACCTAAGCAATAAATATATATAAATTAGTGTTAAGTTAAAAAGAAAGTGAAAAAAGATCCTAAGATTGAAGCTCATGGGTGATGGTGATCACGACCCTCAGACATGAGGAACACGACTCGAGGAGGAGGAGTGTTAAGTTATATTATATTATTGTAGAGGGCAACAGAGTGAGCCCAGA